TCTTAGAGTGTCCAAGTTTCCACTATATAGTTTATACGGATCATAGGCTTGTCCGGGTCCGTGTAAACTTAGATAAGCCTAAGGTTAGATTGGCTGGTTACTGGAAATTTAACTGTTCACTTTTTTGGTGAACAGGATTTCCGGGACCAGCTGCTACTAATGATTCAGAGGGAATTGACGGGGGCGGTTGTGGGAAACGCCTGGTGGGGAAAATTAAAATCAAAAATTAGAACGTTTGCTGCCGATTTTAGTCGTCGACTCAATCTAGATAGACTAGCGGCGCAAACGGCATTAGAAGATAAAGTTGATCGGGCCGTCAAATCCCGTGTTAGTGGGGACATAGTCTTAGCTAAGGCAGAGTTGGCCTCCTTGCTTATCAAGAAGGATCAAGCTCTGGTAGTTAGGGCTAGGCTAAAGAGAATGTCTTCTGAGGCGACGAATATGGCCGCAGAATTGCGTGCAGAGGAAAATCGGAACGCGGCTAAGCGACATATAGCGTGCGTCACATTGCCGGATAAGCGGACCGTGACTACAAGCGCGGGCATATGCGAGGCCTTTCGGCTTTATTTCCAGGATCTTTTCACCAGGGAGCCCGGTCTGAGCTCTGCTCAGTTCGATGCCTATTTGGCTGACTTTCCCTGCCTTGAGGCAGCTGAAGCGGCTAGGTGCGAGGGTCCCATAACAGAGTCGGAAATCTGGGATGCGCTGAAGCAGGTTGGCCTGGATAAGTCTCCGGGACTAGATGGACTTCCCTACGAAGTGTACTTGAGGCTGTCGCCCGTTTTTGTTCCTTTGCTGCAGCTGATTTACAACCACTGGATGAGGCAGGGGTCTTTACCTCGACGCTTCACCAGGGGTGTGATCAAGTTGTTGCGTAAGGACAAGAACGGTGGGGATGGGTTAGGGAACTTTCGCCAACAGTTTGCAGCTTGTCCTGTCTCGTCTGATTGGCCCCGAACAGACTTGTGCTGTGAAGGGCAGGATGATTCAGGATAACCTTCATATGGTACGCTTGATCTTAGAACAAGTCGACAGTGAAGCCGCGCTGATCAATTTAGATCAGTCCAAGGCCTTCGATAGGGTTGACCATCGGTTTCTGGAGGCTGTCCTGTCGGCGGCCGGTTTCGGAGCCGACTTTCGCTCCTGGATCCGGCTCTTGTATGCGACCCCGGTGCGCTGGTGGAAGTGAATGGGGTAAGGTCGGAGCCTTTCGTATTGTCTCGCTCCATTCGTCAAGGTTGTCCGCTATCGCCCTTGCTTTACGTTCTTGCGTTGGAACCATTCCTTCGCAAGTTAAAGGCGAATCCGGTCCTGCGCGGAATTACCCTGCCGGGCGCTACCACCTCGGCCAGGTATTCTGCCTATGCTGACGACGTTTCGGCTCTTGTGTCGAGCAGAGCCGAGATTGACGAAGTCAGCAAAGAAATAAGTGGGTATGAGATGGTGACAGGGGCCAGGATCAACCGTGATAAGTCTGTGGGCTTGCGGTTGGGTGCGTGGAAGGGAGTTTCTCTTCCCGGACCTTTCCTCTGGACGGATGGGCCGATCAAGATACTCGGCGTCTGGTTCGGTCCTGATCTCCAGTTGGAAATGAACTGGTCGGAGGTACAAGGGAAGGCCGAGATCGCGGTTAATCTGTGGTCTCGGAGGAGACTTTCCCTGAAGGGAAGGGCGGAAGTATGTGTTTCACACATCTATCCGATCCTCCTCTACCGACTCTCTGTGCTTCCACTCCCGTATGCCCGACTAATGCAATTAGTCAGGACCTTGTTCTCTTTCTTGTGGAGAGGCAAGGCCCCCATGGTATCTCGCGAGGTCTGTTGCCTCCATCCCTCTGAGGGCGGTCTGGGGATGCCTAGCATTGAGATCCGTCAATATATGCTTCGCATTACCTTTTTAGACCGAATGTGTCGTGGGTCGAATGAGGAGGGTGCCTTTTGGAAAGAAGACGTCCAGAAACATTTTCCATCCCTGAAAAGTGTGCACTCGTGCGAACAAGAGGCCGGCCGTTTACCACGTGCCGAGTGCTCTTTTTTATCGTGAATGTCGTCGCGCTCTGAAGCTCCTCTTACGGGTTTCGGATGGTCTCTCCAACGCCCAGGCGTTGTCTCGCAAGGCATTATATCAAGTTTTAGTTAGGGGGTCCGTACAAGATGATCTGATTGGCGAGCTCGGTCTTACGAAGCGGGAGGCTCGCTCGATATGGCCTTGGGCGCCCGGGTTGAAATGTCTCAATAACGATGAGGCATCACTCACCTGGCTGGTGATTCGTAAAGCCCTCTGGGTCAGCAAGAGACTTTGTTCAGCAGGCTTGGAGAAATGTCCAAACTGTCGTCGCTGTACGGGGGAAGTCGAGACTATTGGTCACGCCTTTTTCAGTGCAGGGTGATAGTGCCGTTGTGCAAGTTTCTTGAGGGCCTCATGGTTCGCATGCTGCATGGAAAGTTTTTGTCCTGGATGCCAGAGCTGTTTGTAGCAATGTGGTGCCGCAGATGACGAAGGCTGAACACTATGTGTTCTGTTGCTTACTAGGGGTTATGAGAGTCGTGATTTGGACGACGCGTCAGAAGGGATTCCATGAGGGCGAGAAGTTCACTTCTTCCCAACTGATCTTGTTCTTTAAGCATCAGCTTAAAGTCAAGATCAGGACGGAAAAACGGCGGCTCACCTCATCGGAATTCAGCAAAAGGTGGGTGATTCTTGCGCGAATGTGCCGAGTAAAAGGGGCTGACCTTGAGTGGCATTTGGATGCCGGTTAGGCATTAAGGATATTGTTTTCCTGGGTTGAACATAGGCAACCCATCCCGGAGTTAGGTTAGATTAGGTTTTTGTATTTTTTTTTTTTTTTTTTCTATTCTGGTAAACTTAGCTTAGGTGTATTTGCTCATTGGTCCCCTTTTAGGTGTATTTGCTCATTGGTCCCCTTTTTATTTCTGTCCCCATTTTTTTTTTCCTTTAGTTTAACTCCCCATCCCCTCCCTCGTTTTTTAGGTGGTCAGTAATGTCAGTTCTCTGGTAGATGTGGGGCGCCTTTCGTTTCGTGTGTGTGTTTTTTTTATGTACTTGTTGTTGTGTATAAATGAGTGTGTGCCTGTGTGAATGCTTGGGATGAATGAGTGTGGCTTTATTTTCATAAGTCCCGCATCGATTTCGTCCAGTTAACTGATATTTCTGCCACATTCAAGAGTTTGTGGGGGTTTTATTACTAACACTAATTTTATTTGGTTTCTTGTAAATATATTTTGTCATTTTGTATAATTTCATTGGGGTTCATTTTTAAAAGTTGTTGTTTTTTATGCCCCTCCCCCACGGACAAATATTTTGTACATAAGGGGATTATTTAGGTTTTTCATGGAGTCAAAGAGGCATTTTGTGTTTGTAGTAAGAAAGGTATGGATAAATGTGTTGTTTTGGTGAAAGGAATATTGTTCTGTATGATAGGGTCAGTGATTGTGGCTAAGTGGCGGCGGTCGTGTCGGACCCGCTCTGTGGGATTCGGCTTGTCAGCAACCGAGCTGCGTTCTTTCTGGTTCTGGACACCAGCAGCGGAAGGTCTCAACAACCCTGAGTTTTCGCCTACCTGTCGATTGATCCGGAACGCGCTGTCTCTCGATGACGCGGCTTTCAGAGCTGGCTTGACAGATATGATCGATTGTCACTGGTATGATCTTGGTTTTTGTTAGGGCACAGTTGGCCCTAACGAAAACAGTTTAAAAAGTTATGCCCCTTTGACCGGAGGGGTGACAAATAAGGCTTTTGTCACATCCTCTTTTTGGAAGGACAGCACATTCTGAGTACGGGAAGTTCGACCATGACACCAAGGTAAGCTCGTTACAGTACCAAGGCCCATATCTTATTACGCATCCAGCGACTCCACTCACCATTAGAATTATATTTCAATTAATAAAGCTTTGTTAATAGTTTATCCTCTTGTTTCGTCCTTTTATTTTTTTTCACATAACCACATTTCACCCCCTGGGGACATAACAGTTTTGAGGAAACTGTGCATGCCTTCTTCCACTGTCCGCGTGTGCGCCCGTTCTGGGACAATGTCGGCAAGTTGAGGGCTCGTATCGATACCGAACTTCTCGTGTCCATCGATCTCGCTTACCTATAAGATAATGTGTTGCCCACGTGGTCTGGTGTGAAACGAATAGTGTTTCTTACACTGCTAGCAGTGGTAAGAATGGTAGTGTGGGTGACGCAAATGGAGGTATTCTTACGAGAACATTATTCTTATCAGAATCTAAAAGTGTTTGATCTCAGCAGATTTCATCGAAAGGTGGGTAAAAGTTACGAGATTGGTTCGCGTGAATCGGGCCAATCTTTATTTCCTTTTTAGCCCCCCTCAAGACACAACGGACCCCATCCCTGGTTAAGCTAAACTCTTTTTGTTCACCTAGTTAATGTGAGTGATTGTCGTTTCCTGACTACTCGAGGCACTACCTTTTATTATGATCCTTGTCAAGATTTCCAGCCTTCCCAGTTTGTTTTTACCCCCTTTTTTATCTTGACTGGATTAGCCTTTAATATTTTCCCACTGCGTAATTTATTTTCCCCCTCGACTATCCTCAGCGAGCGAGCTTATTGAGTTTGCTTATCGGCAGAATACAGCGAACGCTCTTATTTCTCTGTGAGATGGATTAGTCTTACTAACAATTTTGTTTTAGTTTGAATGCTTTGTTTAATTTTTTTTTTTTTTTTTGTTATTGAGTTCATCCCCTCCCCATTGAGTGGAGAAGGATTGGTTCTTGTGGTGAGAGTGGAAATTGTTAGAGTGAATAGGTCATGAATCAAATTAGCTAGGTGTAGGATAGAGAGTGAGACCAGCTTTTCCCCACTTACCTTCGGCCTCGTGCCACAAAATTGTAGTAAAATATATTTGAAATAAAATATTAATATTTGAAAATTTTTAAGCATTGTATCCTATATTCTTGCGAAGTAAAATTATATTTTGTTGCATTTGTTTTATTTTATTATATTTATTTTTTTAAAAAAAGGTTAATTCTGGGTCTGATGTTGAACACTTGGTTCCTGTCAATGTGGATCAGTAACACAGCTACCACCGCCATGATGATGCCGATTGCAGAGGCAGTTCTTCAGCAGCTGAGAAAGACAAAAGAACAAAAAATAAGTGAGTCGGTTGTTGTATTTTTTCTACATCACAAAATGCATTATTTTTTTTTATACACAAAAATACCTGGAACAAAGAATGTATGATAACCCTTTCGGCTCTCTGTATGGTATAAGGCCATAAGCGTGTCACATTAAGAAATATATAGTTTCAAATAGATGGACCGCTTATTACTGAAAATTGCGCAAAAATTATCAAAGAATTTCATCCCACCACAGTGATGTTGCTTGCCTTTATCATTTCTATAAATATTTTCATAGCAATTGTTCTAATTTATTCTCCGCCTTGGTACCTCGATCGCATTAATTTAAGCATACCACTAGATTGGCTACCATGTGTAATCGTTTTACTGTTGAAATAGCTAGATGTAATGGTCAGAACAATTGCCATGAAAAATATTTGTAGAAAAGACAGGGGAAAGCCACATGAAGGCTGTAGGAAAGTCGATCTTTTATTGTCCTTACTCCTCAATAAATTATTCTCATTCTCTCTCAATAAACTCTGGCGTCTTAGTGGTATTATCACATTGCATGGGGAGGAATGATTAAAAAGATGTTCGCTGAGAAAAATAATTCTATTTGACAACATATATATGAGGGGATACATTTGAACTTTCAGTGAAATCAAAAGGTTTACAGTTTCAGGAAATTTTCTCCGATCCCCTAATTTAGACTATGAGTATATGAGTACAAAGTTTACATAGAAGTTAACACCAATGCATTTAACACCTATTATATAGAATTAGATCTAATAAGAACACCTACCTTTTAAACTAATGACTACCCACAAAGATACACGATAGTAGTGATAAAAAAAATGCCCACTAAAAGAAAGCTAACCTCCTCTTCCTGAAAAATGTCTTTTAGTGACTTCAAACATATATATATATATATATATATATATATATATATAAACATTGATTAACAATAATCTTCCCACGTACATTATTGATAATTAAATAAAATTATTGCTAGGAAATTTGTCCCGGCTTTCCCGCATCAAAGGGTTGAGTTTAAAAATAGGGTTGAGGTTTAAAAATTTGCGAAAAAACGCAAGTAAAACATCAAGATTAGAGCGGACAAACTCTCTCTTTTAGGCGCGTACAAATAAAGAAAAAACTCCTGCTCGGTGAGTAACAACAAAAGAAGAAAGTGTTTATTTACAACATATACAGAAAAAAAAGTTAAAGGGATAAAAGGACGATTAGTAGAGAAAGAAAGGGGAAAAAGAAAATGTTCTTAACTTAAAAAAGGCTTGCTCAAAATATTTCTTTGAGCGCCTAAAGAGTTCTTTAAGCGATTAGATATTATTGTTAAAGTTCTGATAGAAACACTCACAGTTCTTGTAGAGTTGGAAATTTGTTCGCAGATGAAGGAAGACTGCAGCTGAGTGAGTTATTTTGGTCAACGACAGAAGTCCAGTGGGCTTGTCAGAAGGAGTGGTGAAGGGATGCAGCTTTTTGGATTGGTCTTGAATAGTGGACCGACGTTCGTTTTTGACAGCCCTTTTTAGTAGTTCTTTGGTGAAAGAGGTGCTGGAGCTTCCTATCATCGACCTCACAGACGGTGGGCAGAAATCTCACTGTCGAAATAGACAAGATTCTCCAAATTTATGGAGTTTTGGGAGGCTCCGATGGATCGTGGACTTTTCCCTCCAAAATTGTTGTGCAAATTTCCTGGCCCCTCTATTGGTCAAAAAACATATTCTTATCTCTGATAAGAATCAGGGCCCTGGGAGCCGGTTTCGAAGGTACTGAAAACAGGTTGAAGAAGCTGTGAGGTTTCTCCCAGACTTTATGGCGCCATTGAAAGAATAATGGTGGTGGAATTCCTTTTTATTTTCCAGCTCTCTCCTTAGTCAGAAAATATATTTTTATCTCTGATAAGAATGAAGGCCTTGGGAGCCGGTTTTGAAATTAAAAAGAGGTTGGAGTGAGGATAGAAAAAATAGCGAGAATGTGAACTTGTGAAATTGTTGTTCTCAAATTAAATTCCAACATTATTCACACAGAAATGAAATACCAACATTAAAAGTATAGGCCTACAAAGCATTAATCTTTTACTGCAACCAGATGTACAAAAATTATATATAAGAAAAATTTGCCATGCGATGTATCATTAAACAATATATTTCGTCCTTTGATACCAGCAAACGTAAAACATATAATATAGAAATTAAAAACGGACAACCTCCGAATTACAAATAGCAACATACCTATCAAATCTAAAGTAAAAAACGAGTAATGTTGTAAATCAGTTCAGCTTCCCAGTAGAAGACTGCCTCTCTTGTCTTAAACGGCTTATCTAGTTTTGGTATACGACAACAATGAGGAGAAAGATAACAAACAACTTCAGTGTTTTCAGTGCTATATAAAATCATCGATACACCCGCACACAACTGCCTGCCTTCATTACAAAAAATAATGTTGATAAAAACCATTATTCTGAATAAATATAAAATATTTCATAATTGTTACTGTGGTTAAATGATTATTTATTTATTCATTCATAGTGTTTTGTAATTTTAACTTAAGACAAAATGTATGGTAATCGAGCTTGGAAAAATGCTGATCTATTTATTCATTGTTAAATTACGATGTGTTCTAACGTTATATTGATAATATTTAAATATTTTTTTAATGTATTTTTCCTGAAAAAATACCTTAGTAACAGAATGTTAAGCTAGTTCTTCTAGAAAGCTTCAATAGAGGCTTTATCGCAATTAAATATTATAAATTTAAACGATGTATTTATTGAGATACACCTTATTTGAAAATCATCTTGGATCAGATTTCATTTAAATATCTGAGTGACTAACGCAAGATATTTCAAGTACTCACATTTTTGCCATAAATGTATGTAACCCAAGTTGTTTGTTTCTTTTTTATTGCAGTAATAAACAGACAACCTCTGTTTATGTGAGAACGTCGAGAGGTTGATGTTTATGGCCCCCAGTTGGATAGTGTTCGTCATACAAATGTTAACACAAAACGATTGGGTTTTCGGTGACAAAAGAAAGCCATATAGAAAAATTCATGAACTGGTTTTTAGCAAGGAATATTTTTAGCTAGATGTTTATACACTTAAACGGAAATGATAAAAACTCGGTTTAGCTTGTGGAATAATGTATTATTCCATCTACGACATTTTACGCGCGCGAGTTTCCTCCTTTCTTTCACACTCGCGCGCGCGCGCGCGCGTTTGACACCCCTTTCTCCCTCGTTCGGTCTAATACAGTAGTAACTGTTTTGGTCACCAACCAAGCGACCTGTTATGCAAATTAGATTTTTGAAATCTTCCCGCGAAAAATTTGTGACGTCAACGACAAACTGTTGTTTCAGAAAAGTTCGGTAGGTGATCCAGACTCGGACCTAAGCAGACTCATTTTTAGCCATGGCAATATGCAAGGTTGGCAGACGAGGGATATCTTACAATGCAAATACCAGATAATTAATTCCTCGTCATTCAAAGTCCTACTCCGAGATGATGCACAAGGCCAGACACCACACTAAACTACCGAGTCTACAAGCAAAGTAAAAAAAATAAAAATATGCGTGAATGAACAACGAAGAAATGTGGTTAATCCACACGTGCATAAAATAAAATATATTAAGATAGCCGACACAGAATGACAGAACAAAAGACTGGATTCCAACAAGAGTAATTTTATTAAATGCAGGAAAAACAAGTAAATCATCCCGTAGTCGGGATCAATGAAAAAAAACCGCCAAAAGTAGAAAATAAGATGGCTAAAGGCGGGAAGGTTCTTGAAGAAGAAAGGTTCCAGCTAAGTCAATGTACATGATAATATTCATACAAGGAAAAAATACTCACTGCGAGTTTTTAGGTAATGTGAGTGAATGTTATGTACATATTTCTTTTCTTTTTTTTGTACTGGTTCAAAACAGATTTATGACCAGACCCAAAGTGGACGACGAATTAATATTTTGTATGTTCTGCATCGTCTCGGAAAAGGACTTTGAATGACGAGTCACAAAGGGCCGAAAAGTTAATATTTTGGATGTTTCGCATCATCTCGGAGAAGGACTTTGAATGACGAGCCAAAAGGGACGAAGAATTAATTATTTGGTATATGCATCGTCTTATAAAAGGATTTTGAATGACGAGCCAAAAGTGACGAGGAATTAATACTTGGGATGCTTTGCATCATCTCGGAGTAGGACTTTGAATGACGAGGAATTAATTATCTGGTATTTGCATTGTAAGATATCCCTCGTCTGCCAACCTTGCATATTGCCATGGCTAAAAATGAGTCTGCTTAGGTCCGAGTCTGGATCACCTACCGAACTTTTCTGAAACAACAGTTTGTCGTTGACGTCACAAATTTTTCGCGGGAAGATTTCAAAAATCTAATTTGCATAACAGGTCGCTTGGTTGGTGACCAAAACAGTTACTACTGTATTAGACCGAACGAGGGAGAAAGGGGTGTCAAACGCGCGCGCGCGCGAGTGTGAAAGAAAGGGAGGAAACTCGCGCGCGCGTAAAATGTCGTAGATGGAATAATACATTATTCCACAAGCTAACTTTAGGAACTCAAAATAAGTCTATTTTAGCATATTTACTCTCTGGTCAGTCATAATCGTATATCCCATCGCTTATTAACTTTTCAAGAAATTCCAACCCTTTTTCTCTTATTTTTATGGAAACTTTCGAGAAAAATTTCCATTCTAAAAAAATGATCATTTAGAATTCCAAAAAGGATTCGATACCCATTTTTAAAACTTCAGTCAAATTCATTTCTGTCTAAAAGTCAAGCTTGAGAGTGAATAAACGTAGGTACCTTCATGAGATCGCTAAAAAGAGTATAGCATGACGAAAAAGACGACAAACTTGACGAAAACAAAACTTTGTGTAAATGTTCATGTTATTATTAAAAGGAAAGATCAAAGTATTTTGGGGGTATTTTTTTTTACATTTTTTAATCGTTCCTAGCACGTTCAAAATTTTCGTTAAAAATCTTGTTTTTTAGTCAGCAAAACTGACAGATAATCAATCATGTCAGCCACTTTTTTCCATTTTATAAAAAAATGAAAATCTCAGTTTGAAATTCTTTTAAAAATCAATTATAATTTTTTCAAAACTTATTTCAAGAAAATCAGAAATTATAATGTTTATTTAAAATATTTCGAAACAAGCTTAACTTAGTTTCTGCGCCGAAAAGATGTAGTTTGAAAATATAACAAAGCAAGTCATAACATTTCGCGTCACTTGACAGGTGACGAAAGACATTTTCATTATGTTTTGATAGCTTACGTGAGGATAATTCATTCTACGGAAGGAGAAAAGTGAAATTATTCAAATTTAAGTGAACAAATTATTTACCTCGTTATTTTTAAGGAAAACTTTCAGCTCTCTCTTTTTTTTTTGTACTTAGCTTTCACCTTTACGTTTACGATGCTTTATGAAAAATATATTATAAAGAAATTAAAATAAAACTGTTGAGAGTGGGATTAAATTTCACAAGAAATGTATCTAATTAATTTATAGGTACTTTTCTTATGAATTGAAAAATCAAATTAACTTCTCCACACGTGTTTTGCAAAAGTAAATCTATCCCAAAAGGACATTTATGAAACTGAATGCGGCTTTTAACTAATTTTATAATCTTTTAACAACTTAAATGTAAAAATCTATTATAATTAAAGAAATAGCAAATAATTGTATTAAAGATCCAGTATTTAAGTTAAATACTAGACAGAAGCTCAATCCACGCGACCTTTTTTTTATTGTACGCATGATACTTCCGGTCTTCCGTAGATTTGATTTACAATGTTATTATTGACACAAATTATATTTTTTATATACTGGTGTTCGTTAGTTTGTAAGAAGCTTTGGAAATTATAACCTGTAAATATATATCTACTTAATAACAACATTCGTTAACTTTTACAAACTGTTCCCTAATTTTAGAAGAATTAACAGCATAATGTAAAAATAATAAAATATTTCAGAAATAACAGTATCTTATTTGACAAACCCTACACGATGGAAAGATACTTTCAGTATCATGTACATCAAAATATGAGGCCCCTTGTAGCAATGAAAATTCATTCATGGGCTATCACAGAAATAACTGGCCAAATCGACAAAAGATATTAATTTGAACTGAAGCAATTCAAGAACATCATGCGTACGGATATACACGCGCACGTTAACAAAAGCCTTGTATCATTTTTCTATTTTCCAAATGGCTAAATATCAATACGTGTACATGCTATTTCTAATAAATGTAGTGTCATATATTTAATACTTGCAGTAGGGAATGACAAGATGGTCGTTGAAATGGACAATATTGAAGAGAAATCAGTACAACGTAATAACCCAACTGCAGATCAACAAGAATTAAGAAATCCACCATCGTATAAAGAAAGCACGTACGTTTTTTTTATTTATCATGTTTCTGTTATGTAATTGTTTTCTTTTTAAATTTGTTTTATTTGTTTGTTTTTTTTTTTGTTTTTTGTTTTTTAGTGTAGTGGTCTAAACATACAGTTTCGTAACTAGTGGGGAAATAACTTTTTCTCAGAGAAAACAAGACTTGTTTCAGAAATACTTTAAACATCTACGCCATTCGTATATATAATTTCAGTCCTTCGTCTTACCACAGAGTCATTTTATGTGCATCTTCTGTTTTCCTTGTTACTTGAATTGGTCCAGACAGGTTAGAAATAATCGATCGTAGTGTTAAATTGATAATTTAGATTTTCTAGATTAGGATTTTGTCTAAATTTATGGCAAGCCCATGTGTCACATTTTAATGAAATTAAAATTCAAAAGCCATTAGTATACGCAAATATATGCTTCTGTCCAAAGCTCTCACCCTCACTCTGTGTGTTTATGAAAATCAGCCACGCGATGAGATATATTTTTGGAGTGAGTAATCAACAATGCATCTTCGATAGACAATAGGCCAGCTGATTAAAAGCAACAGAACATAACCACTTTGTTTATCACTTTTTTAAATATGAAAAAGCATCTGACTTGATAGAACATTCGATAATATTTAACTCATTACGAGAGCAAGGTATTAGCGAAAATTATATTAAAATGATTGATAATATATACGATGACAATGCCTGTTATAAACATGCTTGAAAGCAGAATTTACAACTCTGGATCTAAAATTATGCACTGATTATGCCACATAATATCAACCGCTATCATTCTACGGAAAAATATTTTGAATTATTCCTGAACTTGTTCTGGGATTGATGGTGAAAATGCTATAAGCCGACCTGATTCGCAAAATCTGACCGAATATCAAATATGTTTTAGGGAGGGTTTCGCGAAGTGTTTACCGTCCTTTTTTATATGATGGGTGTGTGCGTGTAAATGAGAAAAATTAATGTCAGCGCATTTGTAAAAATAATACTACCTGTAAATGTGCTCTAGTCCTTTTCTGTTGACAGTGTGTCATTTTCTTCAGAACAATAGTAATCGGTATTGACCTTAAACCCCTAATCTTTCAAATGGGTACAAGATACACCTTCACGAAAGAAGATTTTAGAGTGATTAATAATCAAACTATCTGATGTCATAACCCTCAGGAATTGATTTTTGTTGACCAAATAGATTATTAAAGAAATATTTTACTTATATTGTTGACATTCAGTACTGAGCCTCACTCTTTGCCCACTCGGGTTGTATTGCTAGTGCACTTGATGTTTTCCACTTGCCCTGCATTTACATATCCCGCCATCGGTGGGTAAGGCAGTAATTAGTGCATGACAGCGCTCATCTCTCTTTGGGGAGGTTTTGAATTTAGAGTTATCTTCCTTCTCTTAGATTAGTTGCCCAATAAAGGCTAAAGGAGCCAACCTACCGCGTACCTTAAAGGAAAAGAGAAGGATTCATATTCTTTCCCAAGGCATCAATGCGAAGTGAACGCAAACAGCTTAAATCGGAATACCATTTCTCACATTATAACCGTTACGTCAGTTACTCCTCCATTTGTGGTAAATGATTAAATCTCTGTGAAAAGTCGGCTCCCTACTGATTACGAATCTACTAATCTTTTCATCATTTTGTTGTTGCTTTGTTTCTGCAAATAATTATCTCGCTTGATCGCATGGCGTGCGTAACTAGCTGCTGCTTTTTGGCATTAACAAACCACTGACATTTTTTAATTCTAAATAATAGCACACGATGCTTAAAAATAAACCACCAAAATACATTAATTTCGGTACAAATGGGGAAAAAAAGATACAAATACACCACCGACTTTTCGGTACATTTGGTTCTACAAGTGTACAGAATTATTCGTTTTGCCGTACCAACGGTGGTTACATACAAACAATTAAAAGTACACCTCTGACCCACTTATAATGCATCATCATCAGCTGTTAGAAATTTATATTACACTATTATTAAATACAACGACACCTCTCACCGCCTGGTAAATTGGTCTTACATTCGAAGGAAATTCAAATGCCTGCTCGCAATTATATCCGGATTAAGAGATTACTTCATTGATTTACTGGAGAATTGGCGGTGTGTTTGCAGTTTAAAGTGCAAAATATTTTCTTTTTGATTATTTTTTTTATTTTTCTTTTATTTTTTTTTTTCTCAAAATTTGCATTTTAACTTTTTTTTTTTTTTCCTTTTCTCCAACTGTCTTTCTTTTTTCTTTCCCTTTTCTCCAACTGATCATTCTCATTCATTAAGTCTTTCTTTTTTTCTTTCCCTTTTCTCCAACTGATCATTCTCATTCATTAAGTCTTTCTTTTTTTCTTTTCCTTTTTCCCAACTGATCATTCTCATTCATTAAGTCTTTCTTTTTTTCTTTTCCTTTTTTTTGCCAACTTCATTCTCATTCATTAAGTCTTTCTTTTTTTCTTTTCCTTTTTCCCAACTGATCATTCTCATTCATTAAGTCTTTCTTTTTTTCTTTTCCTTTTTCCCAACTGATCATTCTCATTCATTAAGTCTTTCTTTTTTTCTTTTCCTTTTTCCCAACTGATCATTCTCATTCATTAAGTCTTTCTTTTTTCTTTTCCCTTTTCCCAACTGATCATTCTCATTCATTAAGTCTTTTCTTTTTTTTTTTCCTTTTTTCCCAAGTCATTCTCATTCATTAAGTCTTTCTTTTTTTTCTTTCCTTTTTCCCAACTGATCATTCTCATTCATTAAGTCTTTCTTTTTTTTTTTTTTTTTCCCAACTGATCATTCTCATTCATTAAGTCTTTCTTTTTTTTTCCTTTATCTTTTTCCCAACTGATCATTCTCATTCATTAAGTCTTTTTTTTTTTCTTTTCCTTTTCCCCACTGATCATTCTCATTCATTAAGTCTTTTCTTTTTTTTCTTTTAAAACCTTTTCATTCTCATTCATTAAGTCTTTCTTTTTTTTTTCCTTTTACCCCACTGATCATTCTCATTCATTAAGTCTTTTCTTTTTTTTTTTCCTTTTACCCAACTGATCATTCTCATTCATTAAGTCTTTCTTTTTTTCTTTCCTTTTTCCCAACTGATCATTCTCATTCATTAAGTCTTTCTTTTTTTTTTCTTTCCCCTTTTCCCAACTGATCATTCTCATTCATTAAGTCTTTCTTTTTTTCTTTTTTTTTTCCCAACTGATCATTCTCATTCATTAAGTCTTTCTTTTTTTTCTTTTCCTTTTTTCCCAACTGATCATTCTCATTCATTAAGTCTTTCTTTTTTTCTTTCCCTTTTTCCCAACTGATCATTCTCATTCATTAAGTCTTTCTTTTTTTTTTTCCTTTTTCCCAACTCTCATTCATTAAGTCTTTCTTTTTTTTTTCCCTTTTTCCCAACTGATCATTCTCATTCATTAAGTTTTCTTTTTTTTTTTTTTCCTTTTTTTCCCAACTGATCATTCTTTTTTTTCATTGATCATTCTCATTTTAAGTTTTCTTTTTTTTTTTTTCAACTGATCATTCTCATTCATTAAGTCTTTCTTTTTTTCTTTCCCTTTTTCCCAACTGATCATTCTCATTCATTAAGTCTTTCTTTTTTTTTCTTTCCCTTTTTCCCAACTGATCATTCTCATTCATTAAGTCTTTCTTTTTTTTTCTTTTCCTTTTTCCCAACTGATCATTCTCATTCATTAAGTCTTTCTTTTTTTTTCTTTTCCTTTTTCCCAACTGATCATTCTTTTTCATTAAGTCTTTCTTTTTTTTCATTTTTCCCAACTGATCATTCTCATTCATTAAGTTTTTTTTTTTTTTTTTTCCTTTTCCCAACTGATCATTCTCATTCATTAAGTCTTTCTTTTTTTCTTTTCCTTTTACCCCACTGATCATTCTCATTCATTAAGTCTTTCTTTTTTTCTTTTCCTTTTACCCCACTGATCATTCTCATTCATTAAGTCTTTCTTTTTTTCTTTCCCTTTTTCCCAACTGATCATTCTCATTCATTAAGTCTTTCTTTTTTCTTTCCTTTTTCCCAACTGATCATTCTCATTCATTAAGTCTTTCTTTTTTTCTTTCCCTTTTTCCCAACTGATCATTCTCATTCATTAAGTCTTTCTTTTTTTTTTTCCTTTTTTTTTCCCACTGATCATTCTCATTCATTAAGTCTTTCTTTTTTTTTTTTTTTTTTTCCCAACTGATCATTCTCATTCATTAAGTCTTTCTTTTTTTTTTTTTCCTTTTTCCCATGATCATTCTCATTCATTAAGTCTTTCTTTTTTTTTCCTTTTTCCCAACTGATCATTCTCATTCATTAAGTCCTTTTTTTCTTTTCCTTTTTCCCAACTGATCGTTCTCATTCATTAAGTCTTTCTTTTTTTCTTTCCCTTTTTCCCAACTGATCATTCTCATTCATTGTCTTTCTTTTTTTCTTTCCCTTTTCTCCAACTGATCATTCTCATTCATTAAGTCTTTTTTTTTTCTTTCCTTTTTCCCAACTGATCATTCTCATTCATTAAGTCTTTCTTTTTTTCTTTCCCTTTTTCCCAACTGATCATTCTCATTCATTAAGTCTTTCTTTTTTCTTTTCCTTTTTCCCAACTGATCATTCTCATTCATTTTTTCTTTTTTTTCCCTTTTTCCCAACTGATCATTCTCATTCATTAAGACTTTTCTTTTCCTTTTTTCCCAACAGATCATTCTCATTCATTAAGTCTTTTTCTTTTTTTTTTCCCTTTTCCCAACTGATCATTCTCATTCATTAAGTCTTTCTTTTTTTTTTTCCTTTTTCCAACTGATCATTCTCATTCATTAAGTCTTTCTTTTTTCTTTCCCTTTTTCCCAACTGATCATTCTCATTCATTAAGTCTTTCTTTTTTTCTTTCCCTTTTTCCCAACTGATCATTCTCATTCATTAAGTCTTTCTTTTTTTCTTTCCCTTTTCTCCAACTGATCATTCTCATTCATTAAGTCTTTCTTTTTTTCTTTCCCTTTTTCCCAACTGATCATTCTCATTCATTAAGTCTTTCTTTTTTTTCTTTCTATTTTCCTTTTACAAATGCGGTTTTCTTCTGATATCGCTCATTTCAACCTAGTAAAATATCTCTTTGTCTTTATTCACTACTAGCTTAAAAACTATCGGACAGCATTTAAGCTAGCTCCTGCGGAGAGCTTTCCATTTGGGCCTTCGGCTTGTTTTCGAGTTTGAGAATCCATAAGTCTTTGCATATTCTCAGCATTGGAAGCTCTCCTGGCTGCAGTTTGATCTAGGTTCTCATTTCTCACGGGACTTTATTTTCCTCGCTTCAGTCTCGGTTCTTTTGATTGCAATCTGATCCTCTGTTGGCAGAGATTTCTTTTTGCGACAGGCAACAATAAACTACAGAAGAACTCAAAATTGCTCGCTGCATTTAAGTATTGCATTAATATTTAAGCTTACCTTTTAAAAATTCAATGATAATTCTTCTGCTGCCACTTAATGGCAATTTGATGTACGTAGGTCCTTACTTTCCGTACAAACAATTATTTTTATTTCATGGGTGATTTTCGCTGGATTTAGCAATTAATTTTGATTATTGCCAAATTTATTTCCAAGTTATAAAATTTTTTATCGTAAATTCGTCGCAAAAAATCAATCGTAGTAACGAAAACTTGGGAATCCAAAATTTCTGTTACATGAGCTATTGAAAGTTAAAAAGTTGTGTTCCTTTTACTTGAAAAAAAAGGGTGACACAGGGACACACTGACATTCTCATTTATTATATAGAGAAGGGTGCAGATAGTAATTCAATTACGGGGAGTTTCCCCCCATTTATAGTGTATTATTTGTGACTGCGTGAACAACCATCCTAACTGCGACTACATAGCCGTTCTCTTTTTGTTGAAGTTTTCCATACCATAACAGACGCTGACTACTCCTCCCCCAACCCAGAATAAATAAAAAACTTAATATTGATCTATTGTAGTAAGAGCCTGAAATACAATCGAAATCAGATAATCTATGATAGGGAATAAGTATTGAACATGCGGCAACGGGAATCGAATTCGAGATCTCATAATTAGTTCAAAATGGGAACCACTGGAGCAATTAAATAAATCATAACGTAAAAAAATGAAATCGTTGGCGCGCTTTTTGCAAGAAAACTGCGCGAAACAAAACAAAGATTGCGCTAAGGAAAATGCTATCAAAACTAGACAGCTGCGAATGTGCAAATGTGAGATCCAAAAGTTAACAAACACGATCTTTTAAACATTTCAAAAATCTTTTCGTCCATAAATACAGGAAGTATGCAAGGACAAATGTACGAAGCCACTCGTTAATGTCGAGCAAAAAGCCCGGTTGTGGTGCAGCGAAAAGCAACGTCTGCTATACACTCGTTAACACTCAGCTTGGATGTAAACGGTAAGTTCGAATCAAACTTCGTGACAATTGAGAGACCTACATGAACGGATTGCTTGTTCCCGTATGTATTTAGCATTTTTACGTTCAGCTGGGTGATGTGCAGATAACATTGAAATTAAAATGGAATATTTTAGCGCAAGCACGACATCACACTATAAAATGAATTTTTGGCCAACAATGCCAGACAGTGCGTGAACGTTTACCGGTGTAGAATAATGGTTAGCGTGCTCGTCTTGTTGACTATTAATAATGAGCGGTGAGTTCGATCCTCAATGGGTGTTTCATATTTATAGACTTGTGCAAACTAAACCAAGCTTAGTAAGTAGTAATAACAATAGTCAATATATACAATCAATCAAACAGTTCTTGATGTAACTTTTTCTGATGAATCTGTTGAGTTAGCAATCGATATATAGAAACATAGATATAATTTAAAATATCACATAAGTACTGTCTTCCTTTAAAAACATACATATATATATATATATATATACAAATATATATATATATTGTATTAAACTTAATAATAATAGGGAAGAGAGTAATGGAGAATTACAGTTACTTTCTATCATTTAACTTCGGTTCAAAATTATTACTAGTTTAAAAACTCGGTGAGAGAATGTATATGTAGTTATTAATGGCCAGTCCTGCGGTGTCCTAGCACTCAACGCAGGAGTCCCACAGGGGTCACTCCTTGGACCAAGCCTCTTTTAGATCTATATAAATGATCTATCTAAGATTATACTCGAATCATTTGCAAACATTTATGCAGACGATACGACTATATACGGGCGCACTGCTAAAACTCCCAATGGCCAGAGATTGGCGACTGATCTCTCTTCCAATCTTGTACAAACTATCGAATGGGGTAAAAACTGGCTGGTTACATTCAATGCCTCGAAGACCAAGCTAGTTACGTTCCATCATCGACGATCTGACCTCGACCTACCACCAATCAAGATGAACGGAGTTCCCTTCGGGGAAGCACTGTGCCTTGAAAGACTGTTGGGCCTCAAATAGAACTCTTACATACGATCCGTTGCTAAGGATGCGGGTAAAATGGTCGGTTCTCTGTACCGTTCCAGTAAAGTACCCGACTCCTCCTGCTTTCCTCTACCTTTACAAGGGCCCGATCAGGTAAAAAAAAAATGGAGTACTGTTGTCATATCTGGGCAGGAGCTGCCAAGACCTCACTCTCCAGCCTTGGTAAAGTTCAAAAGTGTCTCCAAGCCCCTGCGGGTGACGAATTATTCAACCCGTCTCTCACAGACAGGATGTGATAAGCCGCTCGCTGTTCTACCGTTACTTCCATGGCAGGTGCTCGAACGAACTACATTCCCTGGTCCCACCAAGGCAAACCTTCACGGTAATAACACGCCATGTCACTTACATAGTAGCAACACCCCACCCACATTCTCTCCTTATTCCATCGGTGAGATGTAAGTTTCGCTCAAGCAGCTTCTTCCCGCGAACAACTGCCCCCTGTGGAATCGATTCCCAACAGTATATTAACCCGACTACTACAATCTTTAACCTATTCAAGGCTAGGGCTAATCGTTATCGCCCTCACCTATAAAAACAAATGGCCTCCTAACGTAACCGTGTACCTCGAGTGGCCACCGGGCCTTGTAAAGGGTGACTTTCACTGTAAAAAAAAATGTTCAGACAGAAATTGGCCAAGATGAGTTAATACTAACAATGTTTTATATTATAGTTACCACTCTTATTTTTTGATGTCCTGTACAGATGTCAGTATTTCAAAAAAGATCAGCACGTTTATGTACACACAAAAAATTAAAAATCATTTTTTAAATACTGAGGTTCGCTTAATGGTAGTAAGCTTTTCTATTTATGATTAGTAAATATAGATTTTATATAATAACAATATCACATAGTCGCTACAAATTAATACAGAATTTTAAGATTTAAAATTTTATAAATTATTATAATTAAAATGTTAAAAAATAAAAACAATTCTTATAAAAAATCATTATTCATCGAAAACAAAATTTTCTTAAGACAATAGTGTGCATAATACATCTTATTCATATAAGCAATTGAAAATTTTTCTAATCAAATAATGTCTTTTAGTTTTATTGCATGTTTTTTATTTTACGATTCAGAGCAGATTTTCTCTAACTGGGAGTCAGTTTGACAAAAAATAATTTAATGACTTAAATTCTCTAAATACTTGTCCTTATTTCTCAAAATTTAATAAAATAAGTGGTTGAGTGGAGGTGCAGATGGTTATTTTAACAAAGAAACGTTTCTAAAATAATTTCGTTCATTTCTGAATAAGTCCTGAAAGTATAATTAAAATCCGACAATTATCTGTTTTTTTTTTTTTTTTGCAAGAATTTCTAAATGAATGTGTTTTTAAACGCAAAAAGATACTCAAATGTTCCATACTTATAGGGTTCCTCGATGATGCAAAAAAATTACCAACATTTTGAAAGATCCAAAAAAGATTCAAGAAATATAATTTAATAGTAAAAAAAAATTTTTAGTCTTTCATCATAATAATAATATAAAAGCAAAACAACTGTGTTTTTATTAAGTTTGAGGCATATTTTCCTGTATATATTTTTTTTTGCTTTGGAGGTACATATATATATATATATATATATATATATATATATATATATATATATATTTAATCTTTTTATATTTTACTTTGCTTTAAAATCTGTTCGATGTATTTAACAAATTCTAAAGCAAAATAAAATATAAAAACATTAATCCATTTACTATTCCTCATTATTGTTTCTCAGCATTTTTATATTTTTTTTCAGTGAAAGCCATATTTTCTCAGTTGTTTTTCTCACAAAACTGTTTATCTCTTCCACATTTCCAATTTCTCTATTTTTTATTCTCTTCCTATCAAACTATCTCTACTGTTTTTAATATTTCTTTACATTGATGAATCGTGTTGTATTGCATTTAAATCCACTCATTCATAAATTAAATATGAACAAATAATTTTTAATCCTCGTCACCCTTTTTCCCCATCTCAAAATACAAGATCCTGACATTTTTCTGGGTTCGAACTAGCAATACAGGAAGCAGTATATATATATAACAAAAGATGGCTGTCAAGGAGGATCTACGAGATTTGTTAGCTAATAGTTTATCTTCCACCCCATTTGAGTAAATTAATGAGCCCAAAATAATGATTGTACAATGCTACTAATTGTGGGTTCAATCCAAACTTAATACTCATCGACATATAACAGTATTTTTTGTATTTATTTATCTAAATGTTAATATTTTCTTTTTTTCCTTCGTTTCAATGTTTGCATCCAGATGTTTGGTGATTATTTCTGAAGAGTAAGTTTCCTCAAAATCTCCAGTACATTTCTTAGTTTTTTCGCAGATCCTAGAAAGACAGTAAAGTCAAAACTCTTACTTGGATTTCCAACTCATCAAAGTACACATAATTCCTTAAGAAGTCATGGTTCGATTTTACACTACATTTATAAATATTTCTAAATTCAATATTTTTTCAAAATGACAAATTAGACTTAAAAAAGTTGAAATGAATACTAATTTACAAAAATTGTTAAAAATTCCTTCCTTTTTTAAATACTAACGGAAAAGTTAATTTAAGTAGTAGCATCGTTTCATACAATTCTGTTTAAATCATTGAAAATCTGAGAATAACAAATCTTAGTAT